GCGTGGCGAGCGGGGGGGGGGGCCGCGCGCGCCCCCTCCCCCCGGCTCGCCACGTAAGGCGACGGGAAAAGGGGGGGGGGGGGCGGTGCACGGGCCCCTGGTGCGCCACGACAGGCATGAGGAGGGCGGGGCCTGGGCAGGGTCGGGGCATGGCAGGGGCAGGGCCGCGATAGGGCCGCGACAGGGTCGGGGCAGGGCCGCGACAGGTCCGGGACAGGGGCGACGCCGGGCGACGGGGCCGATACGGGGGGCCGCGACGGGGGGCCGCGACGAGGGGCCGCGACAGGGCCTTACGGGGGGCCGCGAAGGGCCTTACGAGGGGCCGCGAAGGGCCGTACGAGGGGCCGCGAAGGGCCGTACGAGGGGCCGCGAAGGGCCTGACGAGGGGCCGCGAGGGGGGCTTAACGAGGGGCCGCGAAGGGGCCTTACGAGGGGCCGCGAAGCGGCCTAACGAGGGGCCGCGAAGGGGCCTTACGAGGGGCCGCTAAGGGCCGTTAAGGGCAGGCGCGACGCGCGCCTCGGGTAGGAAAAAAAATTTCAGTGGTGGGCCCACGGATCGAGACAGCTCTATACCATGTGAAGAAATGAGGAATGAATGAGAAGAGAGGTTCACTAGCAAACATTGGGATACATATAGCAAACCCTAAAAGGGCTGTACTCACTATAGAGTACCCCACTGCAGACTAGAGAAACATAATATACTGACACCCTGCAAGTGTACCTGAGGAGCCGGGGATTCCGCGATATACATGCACTCGCGTAGCGGAGGGGGCTTCTTGAGGGGGGGGAGGGGGGTAGTGTAAGGAATTTTCTCGGCATTCCTTACGGAGCCCGACTACATCGCGTACAGCAACAGCCGTTGTTTGCCCGTTACTGGTAACGGGACTTCGCCAACTTCGCGCGCACTGTTTTGCCAAACCTCGCACTGCTGGCCCGGCCGTGTCGGCCTACGCTTCGAGACTAGCCCGAGCCTCGCTGCCAGCATAGCACTAGCTAGCTCGCACGCACCGCGTTACCGTTTGCATGTTTCGCGTATAAATGTTCGCTCATGCCTTCGCTCACATCTTTGTACTCGTTTGACACTCTAGTGCAATTCTCGCTACTTCGATTCATTGCACCCGTAACAGGTATCGTCAAATGACAAAGGTCTATCGAAAGTATACCCTAATAGTCTCGCACCCTGAGTTACTACCCAATAGTTCTGGAATTGGTACAGTTCTGGACTGGTTCGTGGTATCTAAATTATGACACCATTGCTCAAATTCACACCGACATTACGTTCCAGCATATCCTCGTAAACTCGGGGCTTCCGTTTCACTAAACTCATGAATGTAGCAACAACCGACAATTCCTCCGTATTTATCGGACACCCCTGAAATGCTGCTTTTTGTCTGGACTGGAAACAAATCGTCGGAGAAATCAGACGACCAAGTCATCAGTGGGGCACTGAGGGAGGGTGTGTCACGTTTCATGTATCACTTTTCAGATTGGTGAGGAGCGGTTAAAAGAGGTTACGTGAACAAGACGCGCCGCCTCACCACACCACCACCAACCGAACCAGCCTTTCCTCTCAGAACGGCAAGCTCTCTCTGACACCAGTTGCGCTGCCGTACAGTATCGAGCAGGCCAACGCGCGGGCGGGAAGCCCACACAAATAGGGGACAGGGTCGACAATCTGTCGTTAGCTTGGCTCGTTCCTGGTCATGGTTTTTCTGCTTCCGGATTCCAGACCAGGGGTTCGACGGACAGAGGTGTGCGGTGAGGGGTGCCCAAACAAACAAAAATTGCACACACCTTCAAACCTGGCCTTCCTTTAAACCCGCACCACCCCTCCCAAACCCACACTAATCCACTGCACCACCAGCAAACGAGGCTTGGATTTGCGGCATATGCTGTTGGTAATATCTGCAAGGAGTTGCGCTCTCTGTCACATCTGTAATACAGAATTCATTTCATGACTTGCTGTGCTCCACTCTCACAGCTGTCGCCTACATACCTCCTGCGGGAGGACCTGGTTTATCACTTGAAAACCAGGTAGCACAGGGCTTCGCTCCATCCTTGGGTGGCGAGGTGCAGTTACTGCTTTCTGACAACCCAACCCCCCCTCTGAAAGTTGGCCTGCTCAGGATTGGCTTACAAATTTCGCGCCAATCTACCCCCCAACCTCGATTGGTTGCAGGTTGTGGCGAAATCGCCACCACAACCCCAATCTCACGAAAAAAGTACCCCCCCAACCAAACCTTGCACGAAACTGGCGGGATTCGCCAGTTGTGTTTGAATCCTTCGCGCTCTCATTTCTGGAAAGGGATCATTTCGTGTGCAAATCAGACTGCGTCTTAGGGTGTGTAGACCGCAGCTTTAACTTTTAAATGAGGGTCCTCTAAAAAAAAGGGGTTGGGATTGGGTGTTCTGAGGGTCTCCCCTCCCACATCCGCCTTTCAAAAGTGCTGACGGATCGCTATGCTGTAGTCCGACCTAGCCAGAAACAGAAGTTTCAGAGATTATCAAAACTCGTCAAGTTCAGAACATCTGATGCACCTGCCCTTGAATTCACAAGCGTGCTGTCACACACTACTACCTCAGCTTGTTGCTGCCACCCATGCCTCACCGCACACAACACAACCTTCCATTTTCGGCCTGATGAATAAGTACAGACTGTCGTGCACGAGTACAGCGTGATGTGAGGTCTAACTGGATGGCACACGCGCAGGTGTGACTCATCCCCCCCACACTTCACATCACTGCTTGTCCCAGTAACTACGGCACGATGGCCGCAGTGTCAGCAGCAGCAACTAGTCTTCCCAATAACGTCAGAGACGACATTAGTAGTGGTAGCAGCAGGCTTGCTCCTAGTATGGTCGCCTCCGTAGTCACTCGTCACGGAATCGTCACTTCCTTATCGTCGTTTTCCTAAAGTCGTTGCACGCTGGGTCCATTTTATTATCAGGCTCGTAACACACTGGCTTCCGCCATCGTCCTTTCCTCTCCATCCAGTATATCGCTGGAACCAGAGGCTTCCTAGCAGTACCATCCCACTCCCAAACTTGGTTAGTATCCTGATTGAACATCTGCTCTTAGATCCAAACTCTTTCTTTCCCGTGAAACTTCGGCGCGGGCCCACGTACAACGAATTATTAGGCGCCTCAAAAGGCAGTGTGCATGTTGTGAGACACTCTGAAACTGTTCTTTCACTCGTAAAGTTTTACCTTAGAGAAAGGTTTCTCTATCCACTCTCTTCTCTCGCCTCTTGTCTCTCGACTCATTTCCTCCAAATTGAGGAGAATTAGCGGATAAACCAGCGCCGTGTTGCTGTGAAAGTGACGCCTCCGAAGCCGTGTGAACGCAGAGACGCCACCTCGGTCGACCGGCGAGTTCTTTCAATCCCCATCGTCGGGGCCTCGCCGCCTCGTCCGCCGCGAGTCCCCTCGCCGCTGTGTCCCCTCCGCGGAGTCCGCGCGCTCCCCCGCCATGCCTCGCTGCGTCCCAAGTACCTCCCGTGCCGCGCGCTGTGACCCGCTTCGCGCGGCTCCGCCAGCCAGTCGTCCCCCGCGCCGCGCAGGCCGTGCGGGTGCGCTGCGTTCCCGTTTCCTCGCAACGCTGGAATGTCCTCCGCGGCGCTGGGTCGCAGCCAACCCGCGCCTTTTTGCCGCGCCACGGCGTCTCCGGCGTGACTCAACCGCGCTGCTGCTGCCGGTGCTGCTGCTTCTCACCCTGCAGCTGCTCCCCTCCCCGCTCTTAACTGATGTGTCCGCGGAGTCTAATGACGTGTCGCCGCCCGGTTAGTGCTCTCCTTCTCCCACCGCTCCTTCCTCCTGTCCGCCTTCCCACGGCCTCCCTCTCACCCTCCCTCTTTTCACCGCAACCATCTACCCTCCTCCTTCGTCCCTCTCCCTAGCCCATCCTCAGCCCTCGCATACATTTTGAGGGGCCCTCTCCGCGCTGTTTCGCTCTCGTCTCGTCCAACATGCGCACTCATTTCAGCATCCGCGGCACGCCTTAGATGCCACATAGCCGCATGCTCCTCCCATCAGCCATCACCCACCCTTTCCCATCGGCCATCGCCGCATGCTCCTCCAACTCTCCTGTCCGTCTCCTCCCCTTCTCCCCTTGCACGCCTACCACCCCCACAGCAGTACCAGCGAGCCCGAGTAGCACCAAGGCCCGTCACTTGGCTAGTACTAGACCGAGCGACGAGGTTGCTTCCAGCGCGCAGCATTCCAACGCCAGACCACCCCCTCGCGTGCCTGACGGTACTGCCGCTGCAAGTGGCTCCGGCTCTCGCGGAAAATGCACCGGAGAAAGTAGGTGTAGTGGGTTCAGTGGGTCGAACCGGCAGTGGGGCAGTGAGCATTGAGGCTGAGGCAGTGAGACAGGTCCTATAGAAGCTGATTCTCGCCTCTGAGTCAGACTGAGCTGAGTACGAGGGACGAGAAAGCAGAGCTGCTTTTCCCGAAAGTTCGAGAAGGCAAGCCCATGCATCTCTTTGGCATGTCACTTGTCCACTCACTTTGCACATGCCCACCCTTGTGTTGATCCGTTTCCCCGTTTTCTCCCCTCACACCTCTGCCCTCCGCCCCCTGTGAACGTACTCAGAGTGCCAGCAGCCCCGTACACATCCGAAGCAGCCTGCAGCACGCCACGCGCGCACCAGCAAGCAGTCTGTCGCAGTGCGAGGCGGCTCTGCTGTGCACGCCACCGCCGTGAACCCGCCTGCTAAATTCCCTTCCACCCGTCGCCGCTCACCTCTTCCCTCACCCTCGAAAAAGAAACCCTTAGTGTCATCGTCGTCGTCGCCGTCGTCGTCCTCCTCCTCCTCCAGCCTTCAGCCGGCCACACAGAGACCAGCAGCAGCAGCAGCAACGACAGTGGGGGCAGGGGAGAGAGTAGGAGGAGCGGCGCAGCTGCAGAGCAGCAGCAAGGCGAGCGCGCGGGCTGGGAGCGCATCAGCAGCAGCAGCACCGTCGCCGTTGGAGAAGATTATTCAATGGATCAGCCAGATCATGGGGCGCCGCAAGCGCAAGAACAACCGCCCCCCAAGTCCTCCTCGTGAGTGCCTCATACCACAGGGACAACACGCAGAGCGCTGGGGTAGGCTGGGGTAGGCTGGGCGCACCACACTGGCATGCTTGTGGAACATAACAACGGCTGAAGCTTATGCTCACATCTACGCCGCTGTTGGACACCCACATACACTCTCTTTCTCCCCTCCCCTCCCCTCCCCTTCCCTCCCCTCCCCTCCCCTCCCCTCCCCTCCCCTCCCCTCCCCTCCCCTCCCCTACCCCCCCCTCCCCTCCCCTCCTCCCCCCTTCTTTCCTTACCTCCCGAACATCTCCACCCGTGCACAGCGCATGCGGCACCGCGGGGGCGAGCAGCAATTGATCCGCGGCTCTTAGCTCATAGTGGAAGAGCTTCAACCCGGTGTCGCCATTCCTCACCTCCCCTCTCCTCTCTCCTCTTCTTCCCCCCCTTCCGCTTCCCCTCTCCTCCCCTCCCCCCTCCCCCCTCCCCCCTCCACTTCCCTCCCTTTCTTACTTCCCCCCCTCGCTCCTCTCCTCCCAACTCCATCTCGTCACCGCCTGCATGCGCGGCGGCACAACAACGAGCAGCAATTGATCCGCGCCTGGGGCTGAAGCCGCCCAAGGCGGAGGTGCTGGAGGAGGCGCACGCGAGCTTCAACCCGGTGTCGCCGTTCGTCACCACGGGGGTCACGTTTGACGCTGCCACGGGTGTGCCGGACTACTTCTCCACGCTGGAGGCTGCTGTTGACCACTCGGAGATCCTCAGCGACCCGGGCGACCAGGGCATGTGCGGTGAGTGAGTGGCTGGGCAAACACGAAACCTCCCTGACCATTGCGTGTGCGTGCCTGACAGCTGACAGCCACCACGGTCTACTTGGCTTGAACGTCTGCTTCCATTTCCAACAGTACTCACCTCCCTCCCCTCCACTCACTCAACTCCACCCCACTCCTCTTCCCTCCCTTCCACTTTCCTCCACTCCACCTGTCCCTCACGTCTTCCACCCTTCCCAACCCATCGCCACCTCCACCCCACCTTTCCCCTCTCCCTCCCTTCCCACCTGCACCATCCCACTCTCCCCTCTCCCTCCCCACCCAACAGCCTCATGCTGGGCGTTTGCAGTGGAAGCGGCGGTGCAAGGCGCGTTCCGTCTGTTCTCGGGGTATTTCACGACAAAGACCAGCCTGGCGGTGCAGCAGGTGTTGGACTGTTCCGTGGGCGGCTGCCGGGGGGGCTATCCCCAGGACGCTCTGCAGATGTGGACGGAGAGGAATGTGACTGTGAGCGATGTGTACCCTTACACAGCCAAGAAGGGCGAATGCAAGGTGAGTGCTCCTCCTGCCTGCTCCTCCTTCTGCTCCTCCTGTTGCTCCTCCTGCTGCTTGCTTCACCTGTTGATCTGCGTGCATGGTGGGGGGTCTTGCCGAGCCTATGGTTCAAACTTGCTGAGAAAGGTCGGATGCGGTGCAGCGGGCTGCAGCAGCAGGCCATATCGTGTCAATCAACAACAAGCTCATCACAGACTCACAGCATGCTTTGCTCGTGGTCATGAAAAATAAAGAGCTCATCTGCTCTCGACCCCAACTCCCAATGTTTTGTCGTCTCGCCTCTTGTACACCATGCCACGCCCTGGTTTTGCCCCTTGCTGCTAAGGCCAAGCTTTCTTCCCGTTTACGCCCGGCCATTCTCCCACAGGAAGCGACAGCACCGCACGGACAATCCCAATCACAGAGCCACCTCTCTTCCTTTTCCTCTCACTCCTCATCTTCCCCATCGTTCCCCTCCTCCGCTGGCGCTTCCCTCTCCTCCTCGTCCTCCTCGTCCTCTGCTGCGTCCGTGTCCCCGCTGGGCTATGTCTCGGGGGTATCGGTGTCAATCAACATGTTCGAGCAGGTAAGGCCCTTGTCGCCTTCGCCTTCGCCTTCGTCTTCACCTTCGCTTGCTTCTCTCTAGGCTACAAGCTGTTAGTGGCACGCTGCAACCTGCACGCTACAAGCAAGCATGAAAAACCCAAATACTATTCCATCAAGCCACCCCTTTTATCCTCTCCCTCCCCCCTTGCCCCTTCCCCTGTGCCCCTTTCCTTCTTCCCCTTTTCCCCTTTCCCAATTTCCCCCTTTTGCCCTTTCTCCTTTCCCCCTGTCCGCTTTCCCCCTTCCCCTTTCTCCATTCCCATTCCCTCTTCCCTCTGGCCCGCCTGTCCTGCAGGTACCGCTGCCGGGAGCGGTGGGGCTGATGCGGGTGCTGATGAAGCAGCCAGTGATAGTGAGCATATATGCATCCATGCAGGACTTTCAGGCGTACGATGTGAGTCCCTCCCGCAGTCATGGGTGCGTGCGTGCCTTGGGAAGGGGGAGGGCTTGTGGGAGCTGACGAAGCAGCCAGTGACAGTGAGCATCTATGCGTCCATCCATGCAGGACTTTCAGGCGTACGATGTGAGTGGGACGGGGGCGTGGATGAGTGGCTTGGGAAGGGGGTGGGGGTGGGGGTGGGGGTGGGGGGGAGGGGGACTTTTGAGACGTCTGGAGAGCTGTCTGAGGAAGCAGCCAGTGGTGGTGGTGAGCATGTATGCGTCCATGCATGCAGGGCTTGCAGGCGTACGATGTGTGAATCACGCGATCGTGGGTTCGCTGGGGGTAGAGGGGGGTGGGGGATGGGAGGGAGGAACTCCTGAAACTTGTGAGATGTGTTTTGAGACGTATTTTGAGATGTATATTGAAATGTGTTTTGAGATGTCTCGAAAGTGGTGGTGAGCGTTAATACATCCATGGAGGGCTTCCAGGCGTACGATCATACGATGTGAGTCGGTCACCTCACTCACGGGTGGCTTGTGGGAGGGAGGGGAAGGGGGCGGCTTTTGACTCGACCTTTGAGACGCCTTCTGACACGCCTGAGAAGCGGTGGTGCGCGAGCATATGTGTGTTGAGGGGTGGGGAGGAAGAAAACGTGATGGCATGCGCGAGAGAGGGAGGGAAACGTGATGGCGTGCGCGAGAGAGGGAGGGAAACGTGTGGTGTGCATGAGAGAGGGAGGGAGAGTATCGAGAGGATGAGAGGGTGGGGGGTTGAGAAACCCTTGTTGTGCAGGAGTGCGTGCGTGCTTGTGTGTGCGCGCGCGCGCGCGCGCGCGTGTGTGTGTGTGTGAGTGTGTATGAGTGTGTGTGTGTGTGTGTGTGTGTGTGTGAGTGTGTGTGTGTGTGGATGTGTGTGTGTGTGCGTGAGCGCGTGAGGACAGCGGCGGCAATGAGGTGTGCTTCGATCTGTCAGCCCAGCAGTCAGACCACCTTTGGGACCCGCCTCTCGAAAGCGGTGCTGGTCGCGGGACAGCGACAACACGTACAACACCCACCCACCCACCCACCCACCCCCCTCCCTCGCACTCACTGCTCTGTCCTCTCCTCCTCCTACCCTCCTGCAGGACAGCGGCAGTGTGTATGACAACGAGGAGTGCTTCGACCCGTCCGCGCCCGTGCTGGACCACGTGGTGCTGGTGACGGGGTACGTGTTCGGGGGCGTGTCGTCCAACGAGAACTACTTCATCATCCGCAACAGCTGGGGCACAAGCTGGGGGCTCAACGGCTACATGCTCATCTCCATGACAGCTGCTGCCGCGGGCATCTGTGGGATGACGTACCAGCGAGGGCTGTACCCCGTGCTGCACAGTGCGTGCTGGGTGTTGCGGGGTGGGGGGTGTGGTGGTGGGGTGGTGGGTGGTGTGGTGGTGGGTGGTGTGGTGCTGTGTTGGGTGTGTGGTGGGGTGGTAGGGTGGTGCATGGTTCATGGTGCATGGTGCGTGGTGCATGGTGCATGGTGCATGGTGCATGGTATCGAAACGTATCAAATCTCCACCACCACCACATGCAACCTTGGCTATGTTCACCCGTTCACACTCCCTTCCCATCCCTTTTCACCCCCATTTATTAGCTTTCCTTCCCTCCCCTCCCATCCCCTCCCCTCCCCCCCAAACCCCTCCCCTCCCCTTCCCTCCCCTCTTCTCCCCTCCCTCCCCTCCCCTCCCCTCCCCTCCCCTCCCCTCCCCTCCCCTCCCCTCCCCTCCGTTTCCTTCTGTCTCCGCGTGCATGTATGGTTCTGGCGCCGGGGCAGCGAGCGACCTACTGGACCCGTGTGCCATGGCCCCGTGCGGGGCGGGCACGTGCACGCAGACCATGGTGGGATCCTACACCTGCCAGTGCGAGTACCCTCTAGCGGACGGGCTTCGCCGCGACGGCACCAAAACCTGCGTTCTCAGTACGGCCGCCCAAGGGCAGGGGGTGTGCGGTGCGGGAGCGAGAGAGCGTGGGGACAAGTGTTGCGCTCTGAGTGTGTTCATGTTGCAAGGTGGCTGGCGCAAGGTGCATAGTGGTGCATGGATGGTGCAGGTGCATGTGGGTTGCATGGTGTATGGGTGGTGCAGCGGCCATGTAAGGTTCCTGAAGTATGGGTAGACGCCTCTCTCTGCCCACGCCTCTCTCTGCCCACGCCTGTCTGGCTTGGCTGGGTGAGGGAGCAGAGTAGGTCCAGGATGGCTTGGCACGCTCGTTTGCAACCCATCTGCATGCCCCGTCCTCCCCTCCCCCTCGCACCCTCTGCACACCACTGCACTATAGTGTGTGTGGTGGTGGGGGGGGGTGAGAGGAGGCGTTACGATTCGAATCTGTACGTCTGCCCTGCGTCCTCCCCACTTTATGCCCCCACGAGCCGTGTGAATGTGAACCAGCCATGTGCACCAACCTGCAAGTCCAGCTGTACAGAGGCTGCTTCTTTAATTTCTTGGGTTCATATTTGAGAATTCCCAATAACATCCTGGCCATGAGAGCCCATGAGAGCCCATGAGAGCCCATGAGAGCCCATGAGAGCCCATGAGAGGCCGTGAGAGGCCGTGAGAGGTTGTGAGAGGCTGTGAGAGGCCGTGAGAGGCTGTGAGAGGCTGTGAGAGGCTGTGAGAGGCTGTGAGAGCTCTCTGCACAACTGGATGAGGCCCGGCTCTCCTCCGACCTTCCACACCTTTCCACCCTCACCCGCCTTTCCACCCTCACCCGCCTTTCCACCCTCACCCGCCTTTCCACCCTCACCCGCCTTTCCACCCTCACCCGCCTTTCCACCCTCACCCGCCTTTCCACCCTCACCCGCCTTTCCACCCTCACCCGCCTTTCCACCCTCACCCGCCTTTCCACTTCGTGCCGCTCCCTTCCCCTTCCCTCCCTCCCTGTCGTATCCCCCTCCTCCTGCTCCCTCCCTCTCCTCTCTCCTCCCCCCCCTCCCGCACTGCACGGCATCCCCACAGAGAAGGTGTGCTCTGCGTTTGCGAGCAACCCATGTGGCACGGCTTTTGAGGCGCCTCAAAAGTTGCCCCCCACTCTCCTCTCTCCTCCTCCCCCCCTCCTGCACTGCGCGGCAACCCGCAGAGAAGGTGTGTTCCGCGTTTGTGAGCAACCCGTGCGGCACGGGGCAGTGCGTGGACACGGGGACCGGGTCGTACACGTGCACGTGCCCCTCCAACTACCAACTCAGCGCCCTCTCCACCGGCCTCCTCACCTGCGTGCCCAGTGAGTGCGCGTTGAGACGTCTCAAAGCACGGGGCTGTGTGTGGACACGGGCACTGGCTTGGCTTGTACACGTGTACGTGCCCCTCCAACTACGAACTCATCGCCTCCTCCTCCTCCTCCTCCTCCTCCTCCTCCTCCTCCTCCTCCTCCTCCTCCTCCTCCTCCTCCTCCTCCTCCTCCTCCTCCTCCTCCTCCTCCTCACCTGCGTGCCCAGTGAGTGCGCTCGCCGAGGGGGACGGGTGAGGGGGAAGGGGGAGGGGGAAGGGGGGAGGGGGGAGGGGGGAGGGGGGAGGAGGGAGGGGATGGAGGGAGGGGGAGCGGGTGAAGGGGGATGCCCCAAAACGGTGGGTGGGTCTTGGGTATAGGTCCAAGTGTTGTGTGTGGCAGGCACATGTGTGTGTGTGGGGCTATGCTTGCTGCGTCACAAGAATGTTTTCGGGCGTTCACACACTACCCTTCCACCCTGATTCCCCACACGCCATTCCTCCCCACAACCCTGCCCCCTTCGGCTACGCCTGACTGACCCTGCAGGCGGTGCCAGCAACCCCATTCCCCATCCCATTCCCCCTCCCCCATCCTCCCCCCTTCCTTGCCTCTGTTCTCCCACCAGGCGGGGCCAGCGCGCCAGTGAACTCGTACCAGGTGCAGGCAGGGGACACGTGCTACGGCATCTACGTCTTTCATACTGCTCCCCTCCCCACTCCAACCACCACCCCCTCACCCCATCCGCCCCCCACCACATTCCCCTAATCCCCCAATCCGCCCATTCCCCCCATCCGTCCCACCCCACTCCCCGTCCACCCCCCATTCCCCTGCCACCATCCCAATACCCCTCCCACGTGCTTCGCTCCCACCAGGCGGGGCGAGCGCGCCAGTGAACTCGTATCAGGTGCAGGCAGGGGACACGTGCTACGGCATCTACGTCTTCCACGGCCTCTCAGCGGCCGACTTCCTCGCACAGAACCAGGTGCGGTGGGATGCAGCGTGCGAGGGGCGAAGTGAGAGGGGGCAGCGGGGGGAGTGCGGGGAGCGGGAGGAGTGGGGGTGTTGCTGGGGGGGAAGAGGGCCAGAGAGTGGTGTTGCAGCCATCTCCCCGGCCTTAGTGGTTGGTTGATGTCCTCCTTTCCCCCTGTCAAACAATGACTGTTTGAGACTGAGAAAGGGATTCGTTGTCTTGCCAATTACGTCCTGCGCCTCGCTTTCCCTGTCCTCATGCCTTTCTCAGTGCTGTGATGTCATGTTTTCCACACGGCCAAATAGCCTCTCAGACTCTCTCTGCACCTTCTGTGTGCCTGCGCCGTCTCTGCACCCGGCATGCACCTGCCCTTACTGCGTATGCATGTGCATGCGCATCGGCATGTGCATGCGCATGGGCATGTGCATGCGCATGGGCATGTGTATGGTCATGCGCATTGGCATGTGTGTGTGTGTGACGAGGGCCCATCAGGATGTGGACTGTAACAACCTGCAACAGGGCACATACGTGCAGGTGGAGCGAACCACCAAGCCCGTATGCTCCGTGCGCTATCCAATTTCCCAGGTACGCGCCTCCTCCTCCGTATCTTCCGTTCCCACCTCGCCTCGGCACCTTCCTTCCTGATGAGCCGATTAGCCGGCACAAGAAGCCAGGCGCACCCGATTCATTTATCGTGCGTTCAACTGCTTACAGAAAAGCAGTGCAAGAGGGAGTGGTGTGAGACTAGTGTGCGAGTGGTGCAGGACCATGGTGCTCATGTAGTGTGAGTATAGTCTGAGCACGGTGCAGGCACGGGGAGTGACCACAGCGCACACATACCCGTGGAGAGACGTAAACATGCCTCTTCACTCTCATGCCTTCACTCTTCCAAGGCCACACTGGTAATTGTGCACACGACTGATCATGCTTTGGCTGGAACGGTTTAAGAGTATTTTGAAGATTGACCCCGTGAAAACGCGTTGCTATACATGATACATACACGACGCAGTATGCGGTGCGGTGCGCGCCTGACGACCGTCACCCCACTCGCTGTGTTGTGTGGTCAGCCCTCTCCACCATTGGCTCTCTTGTACCCAACTCCCTCTAACCCACCCACCTTGTATCCTCTCGCACCATTCTTGCCCACCACTCGCCTTAGCTATACTGCTCCACCACTTGCCTTGCTCACTCTGGCAACAATACAACATACACACACACACACACACACACACACACACACACACACACACACACACACACACACACACACACACACACACACACACACACACTGTGCCTCCATTAACAAAGACCCCACCACTCCGCCCTGCGTTTCTTCCCCCATCCCATCCCATCCCAACTGCTTGCCTGTGTGCTTGCATGCCTCACATTCTCCTTCTGATCCCCTGATGTGCTGGACGATTTTGAGAGTTCTCGTTTTGAGATGTTTCAAAACTTGATCCCGTACTGTGCTGGACAATTTTCAGATTTCTCGTCTCAAAATCTTTGAGAACTCCCAAAGTGGCACAAGCATGCGCCCTCTGGACGCACCCACCCAGTCCTTCGCATTCCAAAGTGAATTCTGAGTCGACTCAAAAGTCGCCTCGTTTTGAGTCGACTCAAAAGTCACCTCGTTTTGATTCGACTCAAAAGTCACCTCGTTTTGAGTCGACTCAGAAGTCATGCGCCCTCTGGACGCACCCACCCAGTCCTTCGCATTCCTCCCCTCCCCTCCCCGTGCCTATTGAAAATTCTCTTTTGAGAAGCACGTTTGCAAATGCTCAAAGGCGTTCCTCCCTGTGCTGCTGCTCCACACCCTCCATGTGTGCTGCGCAGGCGGATGCAACGGCAGGCAACTGCAATGCCATCAACACGCGCTTCTCCATCGATGCTGCTACTATCAATCCCGGGCTCGACTGTGCCAACTTGGTCCCGGGACAGCAGGTGCGCAAGGCGTGCCTGTTCTGTTCACACACTCTCTGCATTCGTGTCTTTGTGACTGTGCACTGCACATGTGTGCGTGCATGCATGCGTGGGGGGGCATGTGCAGGTGTGTGTAAGCGCGCGCGTGTGTAAGCGCGCTCATGCACATTCTCATGTATGTGTGCTTTTCCTACTATCCCTTTCGAGCTCAGTCCCCTTCCACCAATCCCTTCCGCTTACCCCTCCCTGGCCGCCCACATCACCCTGCCTCTCCTCACCAGATCTGTGTGGGGTGGAGTGACTTTGAGAAACGCTCAAACAACTACGTGCTGGGCTTCCGACGCGCCTAAAAAACAAGACTGCTTGCCCTTTCCTCCCCGCCCACATCACCCTCCCTCACACCGCAGATCTGTGTGGAGTGGAGTGACTTTGAGAAAGGCTCGAGCAACTACGTGCTGTGCACGCAGTACCAGGACATCACGCCCACCACCACGTGCGCGTCTGTTCTCTCCACGTACGACCTCACGTGGCGCTCCCTCTACCGCTTCAACCCCGGCTTGCTGTGCGACAATATCAATGGGCTTGCTGGACAAGAGGTGTGTGTGCGCGTGAGAGGGGGTTTGTGTGTGTGTGGGTGGATGGGCGTGTGGTGGGGGTCGGTGAGCATGTGGGCATTTTTGTTTGTGTGTTGGTGGTTGTGGGGGGGCGGAAGAGGGGAGGGAGGAGGTGTGGGTGTGGGCGTGGTGGCGTGTAGGGTGTCTGCACGTGCACGGTGTTTGCATGTGTTGCATACGCACACACCCCAAGCTCTTGTTTTGAGGAGCCTAAAAACATGTGTTGCGTGCGCACACACCCCAAGCTCTTGTGTGGTGGATCTTACAAAACCACCCCAACCCAATCCGCCCATCATCCACCCACCCATCGTCCACCTACAGGTATGTGTTGCCGGGGAGCCACTGGGAGCGGTGGCGTGCGGTCCCTCGCGGTCCAAAAAGGTGGCAAACCGCAAGTACTCGGTGCAAGGAGGCGACAGCTGTGCCTCTCTTGTCGTTGTGCAGTTCAAGCGCCAGTACCCTCTCGTTTCAGAGCTAAATCGAGGATGGATGTGCCGAACTCAAAGCCTTTACCAAGGAATGCCCATATGCATTCCGTCCTAGTGACGTCTTGGTGTCAGTTTACCTACCTGAATTGCCTGCCGGTGTACTATCAGGGAATAGCGTCATTCCTTCAGTGGTGTATTGACATCACAATCTTGTTTGCACGGTTTGTTTTCGTTTTTCAATGTTCAAGTAATGAGCTTGATCTCTTACAGGAGCCAAAATTGTTCCAGGTCGGGAAAAGCAGATTCAAGGGGCAGGGCATATAAGGGCGTGTAAAAATGAATATTTTTAAAAGCTGTAACGCTTTTCAAAATTGTGTATTTTGAAAGCGAAGCGGCTTGTAATGTAGCAATGGTCATCGGCGAACCGCGCTAAACGCCCGTTTTGGAGTACAAAACGTGGGCTGGAGGTCATTTCCCTCCACCCACGTCTCTCATTTTTCAAACGGTTTAGTCAAGTTTCGACTTCCCAATTCCAAGCTGGCGAAGTTGAAATCACTACCTCGCTTTCAGTCTCCGTCGACACTCCTTTCAGATATTTTCGCTCACAACGCGGCTACAATGGCACTTAACGGCGACAACGGTGACAACGCCAACGCCCCGGAAATTTTTCCCGCGATCCCGCGGGCGAACGTCGTAACAAGCGCCGGGCAGACGACGAGGAGTCGACCCCGACCGCCGTCGAAGTCCTGATGCGCGAGGCCGACCTCGCTGGGACACGTGCCCCTGGGGGGCCTCGAGCGCACGTGGCCCCTGAGGGGCCTGAGGCGCCGGCCACCGCCGAGGGTGCCAAGTCAACGCCGGCCAGCGCGACCGGCACCCCCCGTCAGCGTCAGCGCCGCAGGCAGGCACACACGCCTGACGCGAGGCCTCAGGCGCATGTGGGCCCTGACGCGCCTCATGCCCCTGACACGCCTCAGGCCCCTGACGCGCCTGTGGCCTCGCCCGTCTTCACCTCGGCCCAACTGCAGCAGCTATTGTCCCTCTTACAGCAGCAAGTCCCCGCCGTTACGGAAGCAACCGCTACACCAAACGCGACTTCAATTTCTGCTAAAAGCGCAAAGGAAAAAAGGGAGACGGTGCAACGCGCTCGCATGGCAATCTCGGTCGTGCCGCACGCGGTGGAGGGCGAGGAACCGGAGCATTTGGCAACAAACGCGGGCCGCCAATGGACGAAAACGGCAGGAGCTTTCGTGGAACTTGCTTCAAGTGCGGGCAGCCAGGCCACATGGCCAATGTGTGCCCTGAAAATGGGCGGGGACCCCAAGGTCCCGCGCCGGTGGTGTGACCCCTTGAGAGGGAAACCACTTGGGGGCGCCGAGAGGATGTTGCATGGGCAACACGGCGCGCTTAGGGCGCTGGCCAGATCGGTTGAGCGCGTAGAACGGCCGCCGGCCGACCCCAAGTGAAGGGGGTAGGACTAGGAGTCCTAGGTTTTAGCCATGAGTGGCAATCATGAGATCTATGCGTATGGAATATGGGCCGGAAGGGCATGAAATGTGGATGATTGTTGTTACGTGGCCAATGAATAATATTTGAACGTTTGAAACCTGGATTGTTGAAGCAAGCAAGCCTCAAAGAGTGGAGGTATCTGCTGCCGGCGAAAAAAAAAAAAAAAAAAAAAAAAAAAAAAAGAGAGGAGAGTAAGACGAGAAAGAAAGCGAGCAAGTGCGAATTGCGAAATGATGGGGATTGTTTAAGGAGGCTACATGATTCGGCCAGCACCCGCCCAATTTAATGGGACAAGAGAGGGCCACTAGCAAGGCAAGCACACAAGGAGGCATACAGATGGAGAGGGGCAGGCATATTACTACGCGCAATTGCCACGACGGGAAAATAGCCCGCGACACAAGGCACGCCACCAAAAAAAAAAAAAAAAAAAAAAACCGAGACACGATACGGCAGCCCACCTAGGGCTTGTTGAACACCGCGAAAGAGAAGAAGACGAGGAAGAAGAAGAGAGAGGGGGAGAGTGAGAGAGAGGGAGAGAGAGAGAGAGAGTGAGAGAGAGAAGCAAACGGGCCAATCCGGAAGAGAAGGTGAGGAGTGCGCAAACGACCTATCCGGTATGGGCTCATCCACACACGACTTCGTTGTTGGTACATGCAATCGTATCAAGGACAATAAGCACCCGTTAAAAAAAAAAAAAAAAAAAAGAGGCGTACTCACAGTCCGTGCCTTTCTGCGACCCGTGGCACAGATACACCGGAGATCGGGATGGGCGAGCAGCACATTCCCTACGAATACGCGATCACAGACGAGCTCGTAACAAGGATGCGCGGGCGACTACGCGCGGCATTTCCATGGTGGAGTTCATGGTGAGAAAGCAGCTTCATACTATGAGTAATCGTACACGGCTACTGGATGCCGTGGAAACTTGCCGCCCCGGTGCTGTTCCAGCGGGACAACCATGCGGGCGCACAGATCCAGGCCCAGTTCACCAAACAGGCTATCTGCGAGCTCCTGGAAAGCGGCGCAGCGGCTCTCGCCCCCGCGGATCAGGCTGTATGCATTAGCCCACTAAACGTGGTGGTCCAGAGAGAGAAATGCCGACTGATCCTCGACCTCCGCCAAGTGAACCTGCACTTGCGCATTCCAAAATTCAAATGCAAGGGGCTCAAACGGGTTGCGGAGATCGCTCGCCCAGGCGATTGGATGTTCTCCATCGACCTGAAGTCTGGGTATCACCACGTGGATATTCACCCATCATGCTGGAAGTACCTGGGGTTTCGATTCGACGGAAAGACATACATATTCCGCTCGCTCCCTTTCGGCCTCGCGACAGCCCCGTTCGTTTTCACACAACTGATCAAACAACTTGCCCGGCGCTGGCGAGCCATGGGCATACGGGTCATTCCTTATGTGGACGACATTCTTTTCCTTTGTGACACGAAAGCAGCGGCACGAGCCACATGCAACTCAATCATACATGACCTCAACAAGGCAGGCCTGGTGATCAACTCGAAAAAGTCGCAGCTGGAACCAACCCAGCAGCTGCGTTTTCTCGGAGTCGAGTTAGACACTGATCGTGGTCAGTTTTCGATTGGCGCTGAACGACGGGCCTCACTACTCTCCACCATCCAAGACCTACAAAGGGCAGGAAAGGCAAGACGCAAGGTCCCAGTTCGTCACATTGCCAGAGTCACCGGCATGCTAGCATCCATGTCCCTGGCCCTCGGGGCGACGACGCGAGCATTCAGTCAAGGCCTACTGCACGCAATTCAGCAGGCACCATCATGGAACAGCAAGGTGCCGCTTGACCCCACGGCCATCGAAGAGTTGGATTTTTGGCGCCACGAATTCGACAAATTTAATGGCGCCCCGTTCCACGTCCCCAACAGCTATGATGCCGCGATCCACGTGGATGCCAGCGCACACAGCTGGGGAGCGACGCTGGACAAGTTCTCAGGACGGCGTCTCGAGGCTAGTGCGGCAATGCCAAAGCACCTGCTGGAGGCATCCAGCACGCAACGCGAGATCGATGGTGTACTATGGGCGCTCCAAACGTTTGCAGAGCGGATTCGTAACCAGCACGTTCTCGCAAGGACCGATAACCAAGGCGTTTTCTTCATCCTCAGAAAAGGCGGTTCGAGGCACGACAATCTCACAACGACATGCAAGTCGATCATTCAGATATGCACGACCTTTCGGATTCGGCTCATGGTTGAATGGATCCCGCGCGAGCTAAACACACGAGCGGATGAGCTTTCCAAGTCGCTCGATCGGGACGACTACTCCCTAAAGACACCTTGGTTCCTCCTCATCGAGCGTCGTTTGGGCCCACATTCAATCGATCTGTTCGCAAATGGGAGCAATACCAAGCTACCCCGGTTTTGCTCCAAAATACCGCACCCAGATGCAGCAGCAGTCGATGCGTTCTCCATCCCTTGGACATCCGAGCGGGGATATGCATTCCCACCACCCCACCTGATCCCGGCAGTACCCCACCATGCCAAACGAACTCACGCCACCTTCACGCTCATCGCACCCCGCTGGGCTGGTGCAAGCTGGTGGCCCCTACTGCAACCCTCCCCCCCTCAATGGGCCCCCTACATTCATACCCACATTCCCCTCACGCACGGTAGCCAGTGCCTGACGGCAGGCAATCACTCGAGTGCCTTTTCTGGCGACGGTCTACCATGCAGTCCCATGGTTGCACTACGCGTGTCCTTCGCCTGCTAACCACGCTCGTACTGGATGCAGGATTGCTGGAAAAACTCAAACATCGGCTACTAGAGATCACCACCCAAACGCGGGCCGACTCAACAATCCGCACGTATGAGCCCTACTGGGTCAAGTTCCGCTCCTTTTGCCAACAACACAAGCTCAAGTTCCTCCCATGCACCGACATGTCGCTCGCCCTGTACCTGGTCCACGCCATCCAGCAGAAGGCCACGGTGTCCGCAATACAGTTGACATGCTCGGCAGTCAGCTTCGCGCATCGGTCGATCGGTGCATCATGCCCGTCCACTGGTCCATTCACCTTACAAGTCAGGGAGTTCGCGAAGAAGCAATGTCCGCATCCTACCCGGGCCAAAGAACCTGTGTCACTACATCAAGTGCATGCGATGGCATCGGAATTTCTACAATCGGACAACCCTCGCGAATTTCAGAAGGGCCTAATTCCGATCTTAATGTACGCTGGGTTCCTGCGCTACTCCGATCTCGTAGTCATCAACTGGCATGAGATTCATTTCGAGTCAGAAGTCATGTGGCTCTTAATCCCCCGCTCCAAGACGGACCAGGCAGGAGAAGGCATATGGGTCCCGGTAGCTGCAAGCCCGGGCCCTTTCTGCCCCGTTCGTTGCACCAAACACTTCATACACTTGGCGAAATATGACCACTCGCAACGAGGCCCGCTCATCCGCGTCTTTGGAACAGAGGCCGGAGAAGGCGGGATCACCAAGCCGCCATCCTACACCACAATTCGCAACTGGTGCAAGGAGGCATTTCATAAAATCGGTCTCAGTTTCGAGCACCTCGGAACCCACTCCTTCCGGAAAGGTGCAGCGACCGTCGCAGCCAACGCCGGCATACCTGACCGAATCCTGAAGCGATTAGGACGATGGAGAAGCCACACCGCGAAGGAGACGTACATCACGCCTCCCGCAGACCAACTGGTGGGAGCATCGAGACCCGGCACGATCCCTCTCCCCTGCGCAACACGCCACGTCGCTGGCGCACCAACGGCGACCGACACGACACATGTCTGTCACCGAATATGCACGGTTGTGCATATAAGGTGCCAGTTTTGCTGCGGAGTAGTTTCAAGTGTAATATGCCTGTATGTGAAGATCGGGGGTGTAGGTAGTTGGGGACCAGGGAGAGTGTCGCGTAGTTGGTAGGAGAGTTCCGAGGAGTGCAATCCAATGAACCAATGTGGATGCACCAACCCAGGCTCGAAGCGCACATTGAGAAATGCACGCTTCGAGCCTAGGCCAGGTAAATTCACTCTCACACACACACTCGTTGCTTTCCGTTTGTTATTCTTTCGTATAGTGGATCATTGTTACCTTCATCTCACAGCTAGGTGACACACCACTCAGGGAGGACCCTTGGGGTGAGAGCTCTGTCTCTTTCATAACAAACGGAAAGGAGTGTGCACGTGTGCAAGGATGGACGGGTATGAGCTGCGTTATGGCAGGACGTATGGTCGTCGCGAGGAGGATCGCGCATGGCGCGGACACTCGCGTGAGCGTGGGCGATCGCCGGAGAGGTCGCCGCGGAGGCCTGCCTTTCGCGCAGATCAGGTGCCCCTCGTGCCCGAGCGCCGAGCGGGCGGATCCGCACGAACAGGAGCAGGCGGATCGGGATCGGCCCTGGCGGGAAGTGATCCGTGGCGGTCGGAACCGCACCACGGAGCAGGTGGCGATCTGGGGTATCGCCAGGAGACGGGAGCGTATCGCTCGCCGGAGGCAAGCTACCGCCGTCGCGAAGATCGGAGTCGCGGGCGAGGCTGGGAGGAATTGTTTTCGGGCCGAGAGGGTGACCTCAACGCTGAAGGAGAAGGAGTGGACGAGAACACGGACTCGTCGCAGGGATCTGAGCGTGACGACGTGGCTGATGTCGGCGGCGGAGCCCAGGAGGAGGGCGCAGGCGAGCAGCGCGACATGCCCGCGGAAGCAACGGAGGCAAATCCCGCTAAGGCAGGCGAGGCGGAAGAGACTGGCGGAACGGGCAACGTACGAAGCGCGCGCAAGGAAGCGCCCGTTCCTGAACAGCAGGCGCAAGGCGGGGAACAGGGCAGCGGCGCAGCGCGCGCGCCAGATCCGCGCCCGCAGAATGACGGAAAGCGGGGAAGCGGTCCGAGCGCGCCAGATCTGCGCCCGCATCATGACGAAAGGCGGGGAGGCGGGTCGCGTTCGCCTGGGCCACGTCAGCAACGTGACGGGAGACGGGAAAGCGGGTCGCGTTCGCCGGAACGGGGGAGGTATCACAGCGGGAGACGGGAAGGCGGATCGCGTTCGCCAGATCCATGGAGGAATCGCAGCGGGAGGCGGGGAGGCGGGTCGCGCTCGCCAGATCCGTGGAGGAATCGCAACGGGAGGCGGGGAGGCGAGTCGCGCTCACCGGATCCGCGTCAGCAGCATCGCGGAGCGCGGGGAAACGGGTCACGTTCGCCGGATCGGCGCCAGCGCCATGAGGGAAGGCATGGAAGCGAGTCGCGTTCGCCAGATTCGTATCGCCACCAGGACGGGAGGCGGGGAAGTGGGCCACGCTCGCCGGATCTGCGCAAACATCATGAGAGGAAGTGGGGAGGCGAGCCAAGTTCTCCAGATCGGCACCAAGAACGGGGTGTGAGTTGGGGAGGCGAGCATCGCTCGCTGGATCAGCGTCCGCAGCGTGAAGTGAGATATGGAGGCGGGCACCGCTCGCCAGAACGTGATCTGTAGCAAGGACAGAGAGGGAGATGGGAGGAGGAGTGGCGTCACCGAGACAATCGTTATGGGCAGGAGGGAAGGAGAGCTCCACGATCCCCGACACCTGAGAAGCGCTGGCAGCGCCAAGGGCGAAGAGAAGATTGGTCGCAGGCGAGTTACTCAACAGATCGGCGAGGGAGGAGGTATGAGGAGGAAATGCGTTGGGAAGCAAGGCAGGATCAGCACAGAAGCAAAGGTGTAGGCAGCAGTCTGGCATCCAGCATGGAGCGCGCCAGAGAAGCAAGGAAGGGGATCGAGCGGGCTAGAGGAGGAGGAACGTCAGGAAGGCAGGAAAGGGGAGCAAGTGAGTCATGGGACGAGGGGCGTGGAAGTGCTGCGATGGCCACACGTGTGGAAGTGCCGGCACGGTTCTCAGGAGACCAGCGCGTGGGGCCTACACTGAAGAACTACTTGATGCAAGTGGGGAATGTGAGATATAGATGTGAGCGGAGCGGCATGGATGCGGTGGATTTCTTCTTAAGTCTGCCAAATACATTGGAAGGGGAGGCGGAGACACTGTACAGAATGAGGATGGATGAATTGCTTGAGAGGGCGGGCAGGTACGGGGAAGACCCCACAGAGGCATTTCTGAAGCGGCTGCAGCGACAGTTTCCAGGGCACACTGCAGAAAAGATAAGGGAATTTCAGGAGTTCCGGAGAGGAAGGAGTGAGTCGTTGCTCACCTATTACAACCGGCTGATCAACTTGGCGGAGGATGTGACATGTGGGGACATGGGCCTCTTGGTCAGCAAGTTCTTGGACAGGCTGGACAACACCATGGGAAACGGGCTGCGCATGAAGGTGTATGAGATGGGGGCAGACACAACGCTGGATGAGGTATTCGAGTTGGCAGAGAAGATGGAGTTAGCACAAAGAAAATATGAGGCATATCGGCCCAGGAACATGGAGCGAAGCCGCGGGCCGACTTGGGCAGCAGCGATCATACCTGAAGAAAGGGAGAAGGCAGTGGGTCGAGGAGAGGGCAGGCCAGAGACACGGACTTGCCACAGATGCGGACAGCCGGGACACATTCGCAAGGACTGCAAAAACTGTGACAGTTGTGGGAAACCAGGGCACCGGCGACGGGAATGCCCTGAAGCACCGAAGTGTGAAATCTGTGGGAGAGGAGGACATGCGGCAAAAGACTGCTACCAGCGAGAGGGAGCAGCGAAAAAGAAACTGGAGGAACAGGAGAAGCAGATCAGCCGGCTGCAAGCGCAGCTGCAGGCACTGGGACCGCGACGCGAAGCAGAGGCAGGGATGTATGCCAGGGATGAGGAGGAAGAAGATGTAGCATAGGAAGAGCAGGGAGCACTCATGGCGTGGGGAATGAGGGAGGATGATGAGGTGGAACATGAGGAGCAACCTGCATACATGGCATGGAGAGGGAAAGAAGAGATGGGGCTGCGCAGTGGAGGCAAGGATGGGCGAAGGGAACAGGTGAGGAAGGAGCGGGAAAGGGGGCAGAAGCCGGAAGAGAAGGAAGAGCGATGTACTGCTGCACGTCACTGGCAGGAGCGGCTGGCGTGTCAAACATCAGTGTTGCTGATCCAAAATGGAGCACTAACGGTGGAAGGGGAGAAAGCAAAGACAGCTATCATAGACACCGGAGCACAGAGTGTCATACTCGGGAAAGGGATGGCCAAGAAGCTGGGATTGTGGGCACCGGACAGACATGTGATGAAGGGGATGCTAGTGATGACAGCAGAGGGAGGAGAGTCAAAATGGATGCCCTGCACGAGGACTCCGATAGAACTGACGGTGCTGAAAGGGGAGAAACACGAGACGCCAGTCAGAATCAGGTGTGGAATTTCAGAGTCGGAAGATTTTGATGTGCTGGTGGGCACGGAGATGATTTTTGCATTGGGCATGACCATCTGCTTTTGGAAAGAAACAGTGGAGTTCCGAACGAGGTGGTGGAGGAAGGGTGAACCGCTAGGGCAGCTGCCGGTGCAGTTTGTGAAGACAGAGCCAAAGAGGGCCTACCGCGCAGATCAGAAGGAGATGACGGCGAAGCAGGGGGCACAAGAGGGAGTGGCTGGTAAAGGGACGGGCAGGGAGCCCAAGATGCGCCTCATGGATGAGCCTAGCCAACAGACCGACTGGCAGCAACCCATCCGGCTGGTGGAACTGTTCGGGGGAATAGGGGCGGGACTGGCAGCAGTGGTGCAGAATGGAATAGCAGTGAAACAGTGGATTTACGTGGAGCAGGCAGCAGAGGTGAGAAAAATAGCGGAGCATCATGCATGGGAGTTGCATAGAGAGTTCCCGGAGCTGCTGAGGGGAGACGTGATCAAGGCAGCGATGAGCCGAGGAGTGAACGATGTAAAAGCAATCACGGAAGCTGAAGTGGTAAGCTGGGGGCATGTAGACCTGCTGGTGGCAGGGTGGGAGTGCCAAGGGGTATCATGGGCAGGAAAGGACAAGGGTGAGCTAGACCCCAGAACCAAACTGATGAAGGAATTGTTCAAGATTATGGAGTGGGTGCAGGCTAGGCAGGGCAGACTGGCCTACCTGCTGGAACACTTGGACATGGAAGGAGATGTCCGGGAACCAGTGAGGTTGGTAAGGGAGAGAGTGACAAGGCAGGTGGGCAAAGGGGTGAGCAGCGACGCGGTGCGAATGGGAGCTTACGCACACCGGCTTAGGATGTACTGGCAGAATGTGGTGCCAGTGGAAGAGCTGCAGAGGGAGATAGAGGGAGTGCAGAGGGCAGAGGGGCGCAAGGTGAGCGACATACTGGAGCCAGGAAGAACTCCAGCATCAGTAAGAAAAAGGAGCTACAGCAGACACTACCCGTGCAACCAGGTGGGACAAGAGAGGCAGGCATTACCCACCTTGGTGTCCTATGAGGGGGCAGCAGGATATCGGATGGATGGGGAGCAGCCGGGCCCAGGACTTGTACTTGACCATAGGAAGGGACGGTGGGAAGAACCCACGGCTTTGGAGAGGGAGCTGGCCATGGGGTACAAGGAGAATGCAACAGCAGCCCCTGGAGTGAGTGAGAAGGAAAGGAGGCGGGCATTGGGGAACGCTATGGATGGGTACATGATGAGATGGTTGGTGCAGCGGATGTGGAAGGAGACAGTGCTGAACTGGGGACTGAAGGAAGGAGAAAACACAGTGGCAACAGTGAGACAAGGCGTGTGGGCCTGCCTGCAGAAAGAGGAGCCAGAGTGGAGGATAGGTGAGAACATGAGCGAGGAAGGGAAGGCAGCAATGCGAACACTGCTGGCCAAGCATCGGAAGGGCTTCGCTTTCACCCTGCAGGAGTTGGGGAAGTGCCAGATTAAAGAGATGGCACTGAAGCTGAGCAGTGATGAGCCGGTATTCCACCGCAGGAGGAAGATGCCACCAGGGGATGAAGAGATATGTAGAGAGAAAATCAAGGAGCTGCTGGAAGCAGGACTGATTCGGAGGTCAGAGTCGGAGTACGCCACCCCAACCGTGGTGGCAGCCAGGAAAGACTTGACAGGCAAGGTGCTGAGCAGGAGAATGTGCGGGGATTACAGGGATCTTAACAAAATTACAGTGCCGGACCGATATCCGATGCCGATGGCTGAAGAACTCTTCGACAAGCTGGCTGATGGGGTGTTTTTCACAACGCTGGACCTACGGCATGGGTTCAATCAAATAAAAGTCAGAGAGGAGGATGTGAAGAAAACGGCCTTCCATGGACCTGATGGGCTGTACGAGTGGTTGTACATGCCATTCGGTCTAAGGAACGCCTCAGCAGTATTCCAGCGGATCATGGATGCGGTGCTGCGGGATATAGAGCATGCGGCATGCTATATCGATGACGTGGTGGTCTTCAGCTTAACCGAACAGCAGCACCTGGAGGACGTGGAGAGGACACTGAGTGCCATAGAGGGGGCAGGACTCACTTGCCATCCCAACAAATGCAGATGGGGGGAGCAGACCGTGCAATACTTGGGGTATGAGGTCACAGGGGGACAAATAGGGATCCAGCAAGCGAAGGTGCAGGTGCTGGACAGGTTAAGGGAACCCAGAGACAAGTCCGGGCTGCGGGCGGTCTTGGGCTTCCTCAGCTATTATAGACGCTTCGTGCCTAACTTCAGCAAGAGAGCAACGGTGCTGAACGGGATGCTGCGGGAAGACAAGGCATGGGAGTGGGGAGAGAAACAGAGGGAGGCGCTGCAAGACTTGATGACCGCGGTGAAGACGGCGACAGTGCTGCGGCTGCCAGCAGCAGACCAGCCCTTCGTCCTCTACACCGACTGGAGCAGTCAAGGGATGGGGGCAATACTGTGCCAGGAGGTAGAGGGAGTGGAGAAGGTAGTGGCTTACGCCAGCAGGAGCTGCAACCCGGCTGAAGCACAGTACAGCTCGTATATCGGGGAGGGGCTGGCGGCGGTATGGGCAGTGGGGCATTTCCGAGTATATCTACAGGGTAGGGAGTTCACCCTGGTGACGGACCATCAGCCCCTCACATGGCTGATGATCACACCAGGGCTGACGGGCAGGAACGCGAGGTGGGCAGTAAAGCTGCAAGAGTATGACTTTAAGATAAGGCACAGGCCGGGAAAGACACTACAGCATGTTGACGGTCTCTCTCGCAACCCACCACCACTGGAGACAGACCAGAAGGCAACGGAAAAGGAACGGGCAGAGCTGGAGCCAGCGCATACCTTGATTCTGCTGGCGAGAGAGGTGGAGCAGAACGGTGCCAAGGGGAGTAAGGGGCCAGCTGACCACCGTTTAGCGCGGTTCGCCGATGACCATTGCTACATTACAAGCCGCTTCGCTTTCAAAATACACAATTTTGAAAAGCGTTACAGCTTTTAAAAATATTCATATTTAGAAAGCTTGCTTTCTTGTTGTAGCAATGGCATCGTCTCATTTCAAATGGGTCTTCTGAGACATGTCGGAGAAACAGCTCTGCCTGCCACCTGTGAAACAGCACTGCCTGTCATTTGTCCTGTAATCTGATGCTTTTCCTCTCTTTGGCTTCTTGTGCTGCCTCAGCCACTCCCTGCCCCCTCCTGTGCCCGTGCTCGAGCAGCTTGAGCGCGGGTCACAGGACCAGTACGCTGAGGCCCGGTTCCCCTTATCACAGCCGTGTTCGTCTGGTGTTCCTTCAGCTGCGCCCCTTTCTCATTTTCCAGCACCAGCACTCCTGAAGGGCGCACCTCCTTGACTCTCCAACGCACTGTCCCCAATCCCACATCCAGGGTGTCCTGCTTCGCTCTTTTCAGATAGACTTCCTGTCCTTCACATACGCCCTTCTGCACTTTCCCTTCTCCCTTGCGTTGCCTCTGCTCATATCTCCTGGCATCTCGCAGCTGCGCGGTGTGCAGGTTCTCCAGCGCGGCTGGCATCATGAAGCGCATGTAGCGTGCTCGGACATCAGACAGGGCCACCCAGTTCCTGATCGTGCCCGCTGTCACTGTGTCTGTCAGAACCCGTGGTGCCCCTACTGGCAGAATTGGCTCTCGTCCATAGAGTAGGCTGTACGGAGAGTGATCCCTCAGCGCTGCCTGCTTCCCGAATCTGTACCCAGCTGCTATCCAGTCCAACTCATCATCCCAATCCCTCTTTCTCTGCTCCCCATAGGTCCGCAGCCCTCGCTTGATGGTCTGGACTATGCGCTCAGTCAGCCCGTCGCTTTGCGGGTGGTAGCGGGAGGTACGTCGGTGCGTGATGCCAGATTCCAGCAGCAACTTCTTAAACTCTCCCTGGAACTCTGTGCCCTGATCTGTGAGCACTTCCCCACACGCTCCGAATCGACACACTACCTGAGCCTTGAAAGCCGCTGCAATGTACCTTGCGCTCTTGCTAGGAATGGCCCTCACCTCCAGCCATTTGCTCACGTGCTCAACCATGAGCACTATGTACTGGTTCCCGCTCCTGCTCAGTGGCAGCTCTCCCGCTAGGTCCAAGGACCAACGAAATCCCAAACCACAGATGGGCAATGACTGCAGTTCTGCCTTGGCCTGAGTGAGGTTCGCCTTGCTCCTCTGTCAAGCCTCGCACCCTTCTACCCACTCTTTCACTTGCCGGCGCATCCCTTCCCACCACCAGCCCGTTTTCAGCAGGTGTACAGTTCTCTCGTGCCCGAAATGCCCCAGCTTAGTGTGCACCTCCCTGATCACTGCTTCACGCTCCTCTGGCGCTGGCACCAGCTTCCAGCCGTCCTCTGTTTTTATCTGCAACTGCTGTTGAAACCACCTGTAGTGATGCCCTCGTGCCCTCACCCTTTCAGACACTGTCTCATTTTTCAAACGGTTTAGTCAAGTTTCCCACCCACCCACCCCCTAGAATAGTGAATAATAGTTAATTGTGCTACGGGAATTATCCTATGCTAGCTTGGACTTGTTTGTACTAACCCATTTGAAATGAGACGATGCCATATTTGAAATGAGACGATGCCATTGCTACAACAAGAAAGCAAGCTTTCTAAATTTTCTCGACACTCTAGCCTTGTACCCCAACCTTGACCCTATCTCATCATTCTTGCGTTAGTTCTTAACAATAACTCCCCAGGCCAACGTGCATGTAACCCTTCCCTAGGATCAATCGGGGATCACCAGTGGACCTCTGACACCCCCCCCGCACTGGGATGCCCGAGGTGCATACACCGAGATTCGAATCCGAGACCTTTGCTCTGATACCATGTCAGAATCCCAGCCACTAACCACTGGGATAAAAGGGCTTGTTTGTGTAGTGGGTGAGTGCGCCCATAACCCCCCAGGCCAACGTGCCTGTAACCCTTCCCTATGATCAATCGGGGATCACCAGTGGACCTCTAACAGGTTCTGCAGATGCATGTTGTGGGGCGCGAGTCAGGGCCGCGACATAGAAAACCCTGTAGTGGGAAACGTGGACGCGGATATGGGGAGAGAATATAGGAGCGGAAAGAGGGTTGATATGAGTGGAGAAACGCCCTCACCTGCACCCTGCGTCACAAGGAGGAGTAAGGGAGGGCGGTGAGTAGGAGGGAAGGAAGACCGGCGGGAGGAGGCCTGAAGGGAAAGGAGGGGGAGTGTGGGAAGGGGTTGAGAGGGAAAGGCGGAGAAGGCAGAGAGGGAAAGGAGAGAGAGAGTTGAGAGGGATAGGAGGAGAGGGCAGACAGGGGAGGGAGGAGAGGAGGGGGGGGTGGGGGGGGGTGGTGTGCTGCGAGGGACGAGAGGAGATTTCCTGAGAGGGATTGGAGGAGATGGGCGAAGGGAAAAATGAGATGGAGGGAAGGAAAGGCGGGGTCGCTGAGTGAGTAATGGGTGTGAGTGAGCGATGGGTGTGGTGTGAGTGAGCGGTAGGTGCGAGTGATGGAAGTAGGAAAGACGGGACGGAAGAGGGGGTGCAGAGGGACAGGAGACTGGGAAAGGGGAGCGATTGGGGGATTGAAAATGCGAAATGGGAAGGGAAAAGCCGCGAGTAGGGAAGGGTTGAACCTGCGCGTAGGGAAGGGTTGAAGCAGCACGTAGGGAAGGGTTGAATCTGTGTGTAGGGAAGGGGGGACGTAGCGCGGGCTGTAGAACGGTGTACGGAAAGGGGAGAGGCGAAGAGGGAAGGAATGAGAGAGGGGGAGAGGGACGTGGGTGATGGGAGGGACGGAAGCGACGGGACGGACGGGAGGGACGGGAGCGACGGGATGAGGGACAGAGCCGACGACAGGATGAGGGAAGAAAAGGACGGGAGGAGCGGGAGTGACAGGAAAGTGGAGGAAATGGGCATGTGGGAAGCTAAGAAGAGGGGTGGGTGGGACATGTGTGAGTGAGTTGTGTTTGTCGTGCGTGAGTAATATGTGCCTGCAACGTGTGTGGGTGACGGGGAGGGGTGGGGTGTGGGTACAAGGGCGAAGAGCATGAGGGGAGGGGAAAGAGTGATGAGAAGGAGGGGAGGGTAGGAGCAGTCATGGAAGCTGGGAAGCAGCGCAGAGGGAAATGGGAGCAGCACGAGGAAGTGGGGAAGCGGCACATACCAGAGGGTAGCAGCACAGGTGAGAGTGGGGACAAGCGGTACGGGAGGGGGAGCAGCGCGTGAGCGACTAGGAAGGCGATGCAAAAGGGGGCAACAGGGAGGACGATGGAAATGAGTGAGCTGAGCTGTGTGAGTCGTGTGTGAGTGACATGTGCCTGCGAAGAGTGGGTGATGAGAGTGAGAGAGCGACGGGGAGCGAGAGCGGGATAACAGTGAGCGCGACGGGGAGCAAGTGCGGGATTAAAGTGAGCGCGGGAGGAGAGTGGAGCGGAGGGGGGTGAATGAGCGACGGGAAAGTGTGCAACGGGGGTGAGAACGGAACGAGAGTGAGTGCGAGACGGGAGGAGGGCGGGACGGGAGGAGTGTGGGAAGGGAGGAGGGCGGGATGGGACTGGGTGAGCGACTGGGGTGAGTACGGAACGAGAATGATTGCCGAGTCGGGGGTGAGTGAGGAAGGGGAGTGAGTGCGCGATGATATTTTTTTTGCGTCGGGAGTGAGTGCGCGACAAGGCTAAGAGCCGATGGGAGTGAGTGTCACATGTGCGTTTGTGAGCGACTATTGAGTGAGCGATAGGAATGAGAGAGACATGAGTGTTTGTGAGCTTGCAACCGGAGTGAGTGAGCGCCGTAAAATCATTGCTTGAGTGACGGCTACTCAGTGAGAGTGTTTTCGTACGAAAGGGGTGTTTGCGGTAGTGAGAATAGTTCGAGACGGTCGCGATAGCTCTGGAACTACTTTGAGACACCCTTGTGTGCGTGCTATTGAACGCGATATCTCTGTGGCTGTATGTGCTTTGCGATCACGCTCGCTCGAATTCTGTATTTTACGTGGGCAATGGAGCTCCGATTAGGTGCGAGCGGATCTGACGGAAAGGACCGTTTGTGCGTGTTACTAAAGACTGAACATGGAGAAGGGAGGTGGGCGTAACTACTGAGAGGTAATGACGAGATAGTGGGCTATGGAGCTCTCTATGCAACGAGTCTAGAAAGGTAGCTTGGACTTTGGGTATTTAGTTGATCGAGAAGTACTACCGAACAAAATCTGCTCTGAAGGTTCTGTTACCGCTGCCGGGGAATAGTTACGTGCATTTTCAATCTGAGAGCGTTCAGTTATTACGAGTCGAAACATGATTGGTCGAAACATTTTCACAAAAACAGATTGGGGAAGTAGCAACCCTAACACCATGTGGCAAGGTGTTTAGGAATGATCCCACTCAAAATTTCGTCCTAAAAAAATAAAACCCAGTGGGAAGGCATCAACCCTAAACACCAGGAGGGTTTCCGTGTTTAGAGTTGATCCCTCCAAAAATTGCGCATAAAAAATAACACCTTGATGGATGGGATCAACCCTAAACACCTTGTCGCATGGTGTTTAGGGTTGATGACTCCCTAAATGGCATACCACCTGAGAGGGTATATTGTTTTTTGCCCGAAAATTGACATCAACAAGTCGATGTGGACGATGACCGTCTGGACAGACGGTCATTGTCTGTTTCTTGACTGTTTTAACCAATCAGGGTTGGACTCTCCTACGAGCGTAATAAGTGTGCGCTCTCAGATTGGGAATCCGTGTAACCATTCCCCAGCAGCGCTAACACTACCTTCGGAGCGAACTATGTACAGTAGTATTTCTCGATAGACTAAAAGACCTTGGACTTTCAAGTTTCCGCAAGCGTGAACTGTGATTATATGTCTTGGGTTTTCTGGCGAGGCTCGTCAGTGTTTTGGCTATGGAGCTTTTGACCAATCACCACTAGGCCGAACAACTCATTTCTCCGTAGGTCGCGAGAGATAAGGTTTCTCAACCTGGTTACCAGGTTATCTGGCGAAATCCTGTTCAAGAATCTTGAACTTGAACCATTGCCATTCTAGACTCGGGCTTTAACAGGTCTAAAACATTGTCGCGCATACCGTATGTGAGCACCGTGCCACAATCTGGTTTGAATACTAGTTCAAGCTGCCATTCCTGCCAACTATGCCACTCGCCACGTCGCCACGTTTCCCGTTGCCTAATCGCTGCCCATGCGTTTCCCGGTACTCCCCTTCCCGTCCGCCCTCCCCCCAACCCTCCACGGCGAGTCTGTCCGCTTCCGCCGCGCCTCTACCTCCGTTACGTCCTAACGCTCCTTCGCGGGCGCTCCCTCGCTCTCGCCATATTTAACTCACCTCAACCTTCGTCAATCACTCACCTCTCGTCTCCCAATCCCCTACATCTCTTTTGCACTTTCGTCATTATGGCTGAGCAGGCTTTCAACCCCGATCTCACGATGTCCGCCGCTGAAGATGAATCTCTCGCCGAGTCCGGCGACGATCTCTTGGTCGAAGACCTTCCGGAAGGGCTAATCAACGACCTCGCGAACTCCCCTGACCACCCCGCTGCGAAAAAGCCCTGCACGGACCCCGGTGCTGGCCCTGTTAACTTCAACTCCCCCTCCACCTCCTCCGATTCGGCGCTGGCGCAGCCCGCGCGGTCTCCGGTGCTCCTCGCTGCTGCTGCTACTCCCACGTCGCCTCTACAAAGCCCCGCGCCCTCTCTGGCAGCAACTGCTGCCGCCCCCAACGCCCCGGTTCTTTGCGCCGCTGCCTACGCGGCTGTCGCCTCCAGCGCAAACCCGGTCCCCGCGCTGCCCGCCTCGCTTTTTGCCTCACCCGCGCCCGGCGGATCCCCCCGCAAACTCCGCCGCACGCGCACTCCCGCAACCACCCCGATGCTCCTCCCCCTTCGCCGTCGCGTGGTAGTCACGCTCCTCCTCCCGGAAGCTGGGTTGGAGTCGCACCGCATGGAAATCCTCGCTGGGATCAACTTGCAGCTATGCGGCTTCATGTTCGACTCGGGTGTCATCCCCCCCTTCGAGCACACCGTCGGCGAATCCCTCCGCGTGGCCCGCCGCGTGTACGGTCGCCTGCTGTTCTCTTGGCCGTCGCAACAAGATGTCGCGGCTTTCCGCAAGCTTTTTCCCCTCATGCTGAAAATCTCCAATTCCCGCCCCGTCATGCTGAAAGTTTATGTTGACAGGTTCGAAGCCTTCACCGCCGCAAAGGCAGCCGGCGCTCCCACCCTGTCTATTCGAAACGTCCCCCTCAAGTTTGATCCGGAGGATATCCGCGCCTCTCTCCTCGGGACCACCGAGGAGGACGGCGCGCATTGGCTCGTGGACCTGACTGACTTTCACTGTGTCTCTGACCCCTACGAAGAGACCTTTTTCACCCGCCTCGCGGGGCTCCCGGTGGCCACCCCCGATGATCCGAACTTCGAACGGATCCCAACCGAAATCCTGCTGGAGACGAACAAGCCCGCTATGCTGCTCAGTTTATCCTGCCACGTGTGCTCGCTGTGCGGTAACAACCATCGCGCATCGGACCACGAGGCTTTCGCTGTTCGCTGCCGCGGGCGCCTCACGAACAAGAACACGATCTCAATTGCTCAGCTGCAGCAGGCAAACGGTACAAAATCTGTCGCTCTTTTTCTATTCGCAAGCATCCTCCCTTTCCGCTGTCATTGCATGCCCTTAGCCTGCCTTCGATGTCTTCTCGGTTGCCCCCCCGTTGCCCCCCATCCAGTCACCACCTCCCCCTTGGTCTACCCTCCCCCTACCCCACAACCTCACTGTTCCCATCCAGCCCCCGCGCTCACCCCCCGCTGCCCCTCTCTCCCTAAGAGCCCCCCTTCCCCACTGCCTTGTTGCTTCCCCCCCCCGTACGACCGCCTGGGTCCCTGCCAACCCCACTTCCTATCTGCCCCTACCCACTCCCCTCGCTCCTCCCATCCCTCCCCCCGCGCCAGGTGCCCCTCCTCACCCTGCCTTCACCCCCGTCACCCACCTCTCCCCCACAGCGCTTCCTTCCCCGGCCCCCCATGTCGTGGGGCTCCTAGTCACTCTCCCGCCCTCCCCACACCACCCCTCCCTCCCTGCCCTCTCCAACCCCTGTCGACAAAATTCCCTCCCAGGGAGCGCAGCCCTTGCCACCAACGTACCCTCCTCTGTCCCCCCTACAGTTGGGCCTCCGCCCACCCTCATGTCTCCCCCAAATTCCCACACCCCCCATGCAATCTCCGCGTCTCGGAGCCTCTGCTCCACCCTTGATCCCCCACTCCCTGCCCCTACCCACTTCAACCCCTCCCTCTGCTCTCGCCCCCCCTTGCAGATGGCATTTTCTTACGGAACCTCTCTCCCTGTCCCCTCCCAACACACCCCCCACTTTAGGTGCCTTTCCTCCCAGGGTTTCCCCAGAGGATGGCCCCGCTGCCCACCCCCATGCTGGCATGGAGACGCTCCCCTCCCCCTCTCTCTCCCCCCCATTTCAAACAGCACCCTCCCCTGCTTCCCCCACACCCCGACTCCTCCCCTCCCCTTCCTCTCTCCCAATCCCCCTCCTCTCGTTTCCCCCTACCCTCAATCCCGCCTTCCCCACCCCCCCTCACTCTTTTCACCCCCCACCCTCTCAGGGACCCAACTGCAACCGCCCCCAGCGCTCTGACCGGGCCGCCCGACCCCCAACGAGGCTCCCCCCCTCTGCCAGCAGCCCCCTCCCCCCGGTCTCTCCCACATTGCTCTCAAGCAAGCCGCTCCACCCCCCTCTGGTCTCTTCTCCCCCCCCACCTGGGCTCCCGAACACCCCCGCCCCTTCTCCGCGCCTTCCCCCCCCTCCCTGCACCCCCCTCCCCCCGCTGTCATTTAGCCCACATGGTCCTCCCCCTCTCGGTCCTCACCCTCACCTCCCCCACCTGCCCCACCGCTCCAACTCTCCCTGCCCCCCTTACTCCTGCACCTCCGTCCACCCCCTCGCCCCCCCTTCTCCCCCCCCCCCTCCCCCCAACACCCACCCCATCCAGTCACCACTTCCCCCTCCCCCTACCCCACAACCTCAATGTTCCCCTCCAACCCCCGCGCTCACCCCCCGTTGCCCCTCTCTCCCTAAGAGCCCCCCTTCCCCACTGCCTTGTTGCTTCCCCCCCCGTACGGCCGCCTGGGTCCCTGCCAACCCCACTTCCTATCTGCCCCTACCCACTCCCCTCGCTCCTCCCATCCCTTCCCCAGCGCCAGGTGCCCCCCCTCACCCTGCCTTCACCCCCGTCACCCACCTCTTCCCCACAGCGCTTCCTTCCCCGGCCCCCCATGTCGTGGGGCTCCTAGTCACTCTCCCGCCCTCCCCACACCACCCCTCCCTCCCTGCCCTCTCCAACCCCTGTCGGCAAACTTCCCTCCCAGGACTCGCAGCCCTTGCCACCAACGTACCCTCCTCTGTCCCCCCTACAGTTGGGCCTCCGCCCACCCTCATGTATCCCCCCAATTCCCACACCCCCCATGCAATCTCCGTGTCTCGGAGCCTCTGCTCCACCCTTGATCCCCCACTCCCTGCCCCTACCCACTTCAACCCCTCCCCCCACAACACTCCCCCCCCCTCCCCCTCTGAGGACGGACCTCCGACCTCCCACGAACTCACCCTCCACCCGCAACCTCCCCCTGATCTCCAACCCCCTCGCAGACTGCACTTTCGTACGGAACCCCTCTCTCTGCCCCCTCCCAACGTACCCCCCACCTTAGGTGCCTTTCCTCCTAGGGTCTCCCCAGAGGACGGCCCCTCTGCCCACCCCCACGCTGGCATGGAGATGCTCCCCTCCCCCTTTCTCTCCCCCCCGTTTCAAACAGCACCCTCCCCTGCTTCCCCCACACTCCGACTCCTCCCCTCCCCTTCCTCTCTCCCGATCCCCCTCCTCTCGTTTCCCCCTACCCTCAATCCCGCCTTCCCCACCCCCCCTCTCTCTTTTCACCCCCCACCCTCTCAAGGACCCAACTGCAACCGTCCCCAGCGCTCTGACCGGGCCGCCCGACCCCCAACGAGGCTCCCCCTCTCTGCCAGCAACCCCCTCCCCCCGGTCTCTCCCACATTCCTCTCAAGCAAGTCGCTCCACCCCCCTCTGGTCTCTTCTCCCCCCCCGCCTGGGCTCCCGAACACCCCCGCCCCTTCCCCGCGCCTTCCCCCCCTCCCTGCACCCCCCTCCCCCCGCTACCATTTAGCCCACATGGTTCCCCCCCTCTTGGTCTGCGGAGATAACTACTACAACGGGAAGCGGGTGCGCTGCTGTTCTGCGGGAGCAATGCTGGCACGCCGTCAACCTGCGACGTTGGCACGCCGTCGACATTGCACTGCTGGAGCACGGTCGACCAAGTCGTGCTGGAACGCGGTCGACCATGCTGCGCTGGCAGTCGACCGACCTGAATGCTAGCTCTGATGTAGTCTTGCCATGCCAACTTTATTGTACCATTGTTGTCAACTTTCTCTAGTGAAACTCTCGCCAACTTGCCCCGTGAACTAGCAAGCAGTGTCTGCACTAGGAAAACGACTAAGGACCAACGAACGCAGAGATCACACGAGCACCCGTGCCTAGCCCGTAGTCTAGGGTTGACGCCACCCTGAAGTCGGCGCCCGTACAGTGGTCTCCGTGCAGGTCGACCTCCTCGTCAACCAGCTCGGCCACTGCTGCAGGTCGGCTGCTCCCCTCACATCCGACCACGAAGTCGGCTCCGCCCAAGTGAGGACGGGGCCAACACACAACTCCCACTGACACTCCCCTGCCGCGTTCACGCTTGGGCCCCCCAGACCACACGGCAGTAGTCCTCGGAGAAAAGCTCGTCGACGTGCACCCAACACACAGCACGTCGTCCACCGCACCAGCCATGCAAGAGGACATGGCACCTACTGCTGCACTTCGTCAACTTCGTCACCCACGTCGGCCAAGCGCACCGGGCCGATGGCGACGGAGCACCGGTTGAAGGCCGGATAGTGCAGCGCCTTCGTCATGAAGTCGGCCGGCTGCTCGGTGGTCGGGATGTAACTCAACGAAAACTTCCCGCGCTTCACCATGTGCTGCAGCCAGGCCTGTCGTCGCTCCGTGTGCTTGAGGTTGCCCTTCAACCCCATGCCCTCGGCGACTGTGATGGCCGACTTGTTGTCCACCCGAAGGACGGTCGGCTTCCCATCATCCAACTGCTGGAACTCTGCGAGGAGGAAGCGAAGTCGACGTCCCTCCTTGCCGGCTTCCGTGGCCGCCACGTACTCCGACTCGGTCAACGACAACGTCGCGCACTTGATGCGCTGGCTCGACCAGGAGACTGCGGCCCCTCCGTAGACGAACACGTAGCCGCCCGTGCTCGTTCTATTCTGCTCGTCACCGTTGTCGTCGGCGTCCACGCAGCTGACCAGCTCCAGCGACTCAGGTCCACCGCCGAACTCCAGGGCGGTGTCACGCTTGTTGGTGAGGTAGGCGAGGCAGCGGTCGACCTCGCGCCAGTGCTGGTCGCTCCTCACCGTGAGGCCGCTCTCGAGCTTGCTGCAGGCGAAGGCGATGTCCGGCCTCGTTGTCATCGCCGCGAACTGCAGCGAGCCGACTTTCTGCCGGTACTCCTCCTCCTGTCGCTCCTGTGCCTCCTCGTCATCGAAGGTGAGCTCGCCGTAGGCGTCGACCGAGACCGGCGTCTTCGGGGTGCGCCCGGTCTGCTCCTCGTCGATGAAGCGCCTACGCAGCTTGTCGGCGTAGCCCTGCTGGTGCAGCCATAGCTTCCCCGCCGACCTGTCGCGGACGATCTCCAGCCCGAGGTACTTCTGCACCGGCGAGATCTCACGCAGCTCGAAGGCGGACTCCAGCAGCTCCTTCAGCTCCGTCAGCATCTTGGTGCTGCTGCTGGCGGCGAGCAGGTCGTCGACGTAGACCAACACCCAGCAGGCCACTTCGTCGTCGCCGACCTTGAAGTACAGAGCCTCGTCGACTTGGCTCTTCTTCCACCCGGCGCCGACCAGCACGTCGTTGAGCGCCAAGTACCACAGCAGCGGCGACTGCTTCAGCCCGTACAGGCTCTTCAGCAGCTTGCACACCCGGCCGGTTCCGTCGTTGAAGTAGTCCGGCTGGGACATGTAGAGCACCCGGTCGAGCTTGCTCTGCAGGAAGGCATTCTTCATGTCGAGCTGCATCAGGTTGAGGTTGAGGACGGCGACGATGCTGAGGAAGATCCTCAGAGTGACGTAGCTGCCCACCGGCGCGAACGTCTCGTCGTAGTCGGCACCATACACCTGGGTGAAGCCCTTCACGACCAGCCTCGCCTTCTCACGCTCGACGGTGTCGTCGACGTGGTACTTCATCGTCAACACCCACTGGTTCTTCATGATGTTCACTCCCGGTGGGCGTTCAACCAGCTCCCAAGTACCCATGTTGATGAGGCTGCGGATCTCCTCCTCCATGGCAGCCTTCACCGCCGGGCCCTTCCAGCTTGCCAACACCTCCTTCACTGTCATCGTCGAGATGTCCCAACGGTGCTCGGGGTCGTCATGCATGTCGGGGTCGAGCTCCGGAAACTCCTCATCCTCCTCGGCGTCGTCATACGCCAGGTCGTCGTCGTCCACGTCGTATACCGTGGTGAAGGCAGCAGGGACGAAGAAGTCGGGTGGCCTCCGAAGTCGGCCTGAATTCCGGGGTTCAGGCGGAACCTCCACCACGTCACTCTTGGTGGACTCCTCGGCGTCCTCCTCCCCCTCATCGTCCTGCTGCAGCTCAGTCGACTTCCTGGCCGACTTCTCCCCTGTGGTCGGCTCCCCTGCTAACTGCCCGGTTGCCGACTGCTCCGTGGTCGACTTCACTGTTGCCTGCTCCCCTATCGGCTGCTTCTCCTCGACTTGCTCCTCCCCCATCAACATCGGCTTCACTCCCACGTCGACTTGCCGCTCATCACGTCGGCCACCGGCGATGCCTTTGGTCGGCGCCAAAGGCGACGTCCCACTACTCCCCTCATCGCCAGAGGCCGACTCCGAGGCCAGCCCGCACAGGTCAGCCAGGAGGGGAGGGGCAGGAGAGGGAGGGGAAGGGGAAGGAGGACGGACGACCTCGGCGTCCTCAGCAGCAAGCTCACCGACCTCGGCGAGCAGAGGCAGCGTCATCGTCGAGGTATCGGTCGGCGGGGTGGTTGGCGTCCGACCGGACACCGGCCCGTGCTCCGACTTCCACACCTCCAGCGACATATCCTCGTAGAACACCACGTCTGACGTGGTGACCACCTGGTAGGCGTCGATGTCGAGGAGCTCCCAGCCCTTGCTCTCCCCCGGCACGCCAAGGTGAAGGCCCCACCTGGCCTTCGGCTTCAACTTCCCACCACGCTGCTGCTCGGGGACAAGGAACTGCGCCATGCAGCCCCACACCCGCGCCATCGACAAGTCGGGCTTCTGCCCGGTCAACAGCTGGTACGGCGTCGTCCCTGGCGGCAGCGTCGACCGCTCAAGTCAGTTGCGGACCCAGACGGCCTGCCGCAGGGCGAGGTGCCACCAGTGGTGATGCACGCCCATGTGCAGCAGCATCGTCCGCACCGACTCCACCACCGTCTGCATCTCCCTCTCCGCCATGCCGTTCTGCTGCGGGGTGTACGGGCAGGTCAGGTCGTGGACGATCCCTTGTCCGTCCACGAAGTCGGTGAACTTCTTCCCGAGGAACTCCCCTCCTCGGTCCGAGCGCAACATTAGCATCGACTTCTTCGTCTGCCTCTCCACCAACACCAGCCACTTCTGGAACTCCAGCAGCACATCCGACTTCTTGGCGACCGGCCTCACCCACACGAAGCGGGTCTTGCGGTCCTTCAGCAACAGGAAGTACAAGCTGCCGTCCTTGGCAGCCACGCGGAACGGCCCGCACAGGTCGATGTGCACAACGGCCAGCACGTCGTCGGCGTCGGAGCCTTGGTCGGGGAGGGTGTGCCGCGCCAGCTTCCCGCCAACGCACGAGACACACGGGGAGTCGGCACCCGTCGCCGACTTGAGGTCCAGCCCAATGGCGACCTCGTTCCTCGCCGAGCTCCTGATGGTGTCCATGCCGACGTGTGCAAGCCGCGCATGCATCATGTCCGGCGTCGACTTCGTCTTTGAGACGATCGCCCGCAGGGCCACAACCTCCGGCGTGGGCGACGTCGACCTCGTTGAGCAGGGACGCAGGTCGGTGCAGAGGACACACCCGGAGTACGTCGCCCGACCGAGCACCTCTCCCGCTGCCGAGACGAGCAGCATCCCGTCTCCGTCCTCCTGCAGCTTCACGTCGTGCTCCTTCAGCTGGCCGGACGACAGCAGGTTTGCCCGCACACCCAGGACGTACAGCACATCGGGGATGAGCACTTGCTTCCCGGCCTTCCCTTGCAGGGCGACGATGCCGCGGCCCTGGACGTCCTGCAGCGCCCCATTGAAGTCGCGCACGTACTTGATGGAGCCGCTCGGCTGCAGGTCGACGAAGACGTCCTTCGTCCCCATCAGGTGGTGGGAGCAACCGCTGTCGAGCAGGAACACCTCCGGGTTCGCCTGCACAGCTGCCGCTACCGCCTAGAAGTCCTCCCCGGCCTCCGGCGCCAGTGAAATGGTCGGCTCCACGACATCGACCAGCGAGCACGACGCCGTCTTGTCGTCCCGCGCCTTGCCGCCAGCAGAGGAGTCGGCGTCCATCGCCGAGGTCGACGTGGTCGACTGCTTCTCCTTGCGCGGCTTGTTTCCTCCACGACGAGGACGACGAATGCCTGACCTCCCGCGGCCTCCCTTGGCGTCATCGTCGTCGGAGTCACTGCGGTTGGGGCACTCGAAGGAGAGGTGGTCGGGGTCACCGCACAGCCAGCACTCCCGACGTTGACTTCCTCCTCCTCGACCGCTGTCCTTGGTCGACTTCTTCTTGTCGACCTCCTTGGTCGGCTTCCAGCCACTGCTACCACCGCCGCCAGACTGTCCGCGCTGCCTCTGTCGGCCACCTTGCTTCACCGGGGCGACGAAGTTCGCCTGCGCCAAGAGCTCCTGGGACCGCTCTGCCTCTTGCATCGACTCGTCCTGCAGGATGTACGAGGTCAAGTTGTCCTCGTTGAGCGTCGTCCTCGTACTCGGCGCCATCGACAGCCGCTTCAGGAGGTTGTAGCTGCTCGAGAGTCCCTGCATGACGTGGGTGACGTACGACGCCATCGAGTACTGCGCGCCGGCCATCATAATGGTGGCGAGAATTTGCCGGGCT